TTGTGGCTGGAGATCAAATCCGTCGCCTTTCAATTTGATAGCGATACGCTAACCTCTCGGCCACTGCTGCTCCTGTATAATAATTGTCATTAGGTGCAGTTTTAATTTACAAAAACTACATTGTGTTTATATTATTTATGAATAAGATTAGTGACTAAAATTATAATTTATCCATAAAATTTACTTATTATCTATAACAAATAATTAAAAAGCGTGTTGTTTTATTTTGGATCGTTATGTTTATTTGCATTGCCACAAAGTAATTAATAAATGCAATAAAAGAATTATAATTTAGTAAAAACTGAATTTACAAAATATATTAATTGGATCGTTTAAAACGCACACTATTGTAGAATTTCTATTACCATATTGTTTTTCACATGTATAATATCTTACAAAAAACTCTACTTTTACAAAAATAAAGCGCAAAGAGAGACTCGTAATATTAATACTTAATAAACAGATTTTAATATAAAAGCTATTTAAGCCAATGATTTTAACTTTTTTTTTATGCAGGAGAGTAATGGGATTATTGTTTATTTTGCTTAGTATTTAAGTGAATTAAGTAAAATAAATTCCTAGAACCAGAAACTTGCATTAACAGATAATTGGTAACCGAACAAGACATTTCGCATGAATGAAATTGCATTTTTTGGTGAGATTGCGATTGCGTGAGATTTCAAAATACTGACAATTTATAAAAAAAAAGAAGATTATTGCATTCAGGAAATTTCATAATCTACTTAAATGGGCATTTATTTTTAAACGTAACACTTTTAGGCAATCCCAGCAACATCACAAGCAGCTTGTCGTGCTAATGAGAGCCGGGATCACCGAAAGCCTGGTTCGGGGCGTGAAAGGGAAAAGCCGAGTGCAGACTGCAGGTCAGTGGATTTCACTTGCCAGCAATATAATCTGCTACAAACGCATTATAAAAATATTAAAATATTAGAATGAGCTGCTATTTATGAAACAACTTTTCAAAATAGTAAATATCGCTTTCAAAATCTTTACAATATTGTTTTGTTGTCAGTGCTAGCTAAAGATATGCCAGACGCGATTCTACGTTAATCTTCATAACTTAAAATCATTTTGACACAATATTTTGTTGATAAATTAATTCCCCAAATTTGGTTGTATTTTATTCAATATTGTGTTTTTTGCATTAATTATTTTAATTTGTTTGCTTTCGTTAACACTTGCTCTAAAAACAACTTATTCAATTGTTTGATTATTTTAAGTGTTTTAAAGGTGGATTTCAATTTTTCGAAAAATTATATTGCTTAATATTTTTTAAAATAATTCATATAAATTTCGTTCGTGGGTTAAGATAATTGTAAATACAAACACACACACGCATACACACCAACGTGTATATTATATATGATTGGTCAGGTGGCCTTTATTTTTGTATGGAAAAAATTTCGACCCCGAGCTTTCCTCTCCCGTGGCGCTGATCATCATTGCAAAGTTCTACATTTTTAATCAAAGCGCAATCACCCTCGTATTCGCCTTCGCCAGTCGATCAAAACGGTAGCTTTCTAAAACCCATAAGTTTTCCTATTCACCCTCACTTCATCAGAAAATGGAGGAACTAGAGTAACCAGTGATAATGTCAACATTTGTTATGTTTAACTTCTTTCCTTGCGAATCTCCAGTGTCGAGGACATTGTACTATAGAGGACGTACACGCTACCACGATAATTTTTTGTTCAAGTACAGGTATTGCACACTGGCTTAGTGATGATCCGGAGTTACTGGCGACCGCATTAACTAATGTCCACTTGCTGCAGCAAAGTCCGCGAGTGACGGCGTACGTGCTCCCTGGGGCACGAAGCGAGTGCAGTCATTAGATTTAAATCGAAAAGTCATTGGTCGATTCGCTCGCGGTCAGGAATCGAACCCGTTAGCCTCTGGTACGCTCAAAGCTTTTCCCCACTTGGCTACACCGCTCTGAATTAAATGTAAGCCAGTCACGGCTATATTAAACTAGTTTCATCAAAAAAACCTAGAAAAATTACCTTTTTTTTATTTGCCGTATAGCCGTAGCACGTAAATTTGAAAATAGGAAATCTGTCTTAAATTTTATTGTTTAAGTCTGTATAAGTAATTGGTATTGCTTAGAAGGTACGATATAATTCAGGCTAAACTTTAAACTGTTTTCTACTTTCGATCTAAATGCGTTCAAAATTGTGTCTACGACTAGATTACTAAGTTGTTGGCGCTCCAATAATCAACTTTATTGTTCATTAACACTAACATCGATGTTTAATCTTAATACTTCAAGTATGATATCTTTCGAACTCATATTTAGATTTTGATTCGCTTTGCGGAATTCGAAACAAATTTCTAAGCGGAAAAGTTAACTGAGTATTGAACACGAATCTCGAAACAAGTCATTTTAAAAACACTTTGTTGCAATTTTTTCTTATTAACGTTATCTCTCGAAAGCCTGATCTCATTTCGATGTGGTTTGCAGAGATCGATGTTGCTTTTGAAGACAATCCCTGACTGGGTTTTAAAATCGATCAGTAAAGTAGTCTTAAAGTTATTCAAAATTTCATAGTTGTTGGATCTGTTTAAAATTCGATCCTACCAAAAATACCATTTTGATCGGACTATACGTAGACACACACTCACGTACACGCATACAGAGACTATCTCTATGAGAGAGAAGAGAGAAAGAGAGTAGAGAAGAGACAAGAGAGAGAAAGACAGGCAGACAGTGACATACACCACTCGCAAAATGATCAAATATATTTTCAGGGTTTTATAATGTCAGAATTTGATAAAAACTTATTTCTCAAAAATCAGACTGAAAATTGTGTTCGCAACTTTTGAAAATATCTCAATTTTCATAGTAAAAAGTTATATACGTCTTAAAATATTGTTGTTGCTAAAATAAATGAAATTAAAGATGTTAGGAAGTACAGCTTACATACATAATCTTGGTTGTTATATTCCTTCAAGTATATAAAGTGCTTATGCCGTTCCTAAATTTGTCATTCATACTTGATTGTTTACTTAAATGTTCACATGAACCACCAACTACGTCGCTCTCATAACTTGATATTGAAAATAGACTCATGTGGCAAATATTGGGGAGAGTTTAAGGTCCTAAATTCAATTAAGTGCCCCTGTATAGGATGCACTCAAAGCGTTCGCTAAAAGCCCTCTCCTGTTTTAACGATGTTAGTATCACATATACGAGAATATCTTATTAGAAATACCGTAGACAAGGCAACTTCAAATTCAGTTAAATACTAGCGTCCGCTAGCGGCTACGCACTTGACGTAAAATATCTCTTTATGCCAATTCTATATTGTTGTCCATTACCGACCTCGTTTTCAATCTTCATGCCGATAGCGACTCCTGAAACTAATAGAGCTCACCATTTTGTAATACATAACCTCCTGTCTGTTTATCTTTCTGTCTCCTCTGTAGATTTATTTTGATGAAATTCATTGGACTGATGTAATTCATTATAATATATTATAGGTTACTCTTTTTATTTAGGTATGTATATTTGTATAACTACCTACAACTAATCATTTAAAAGTTATTAATTTAATTTAATTTTTCAGCCATACATGTTAGATCACTTCACTTACAAAAGGAGCGATGTTAGGTGTAGACATTGAGAGAGAAGGGGTGAGGAATATGTGGTCTGCGAGGGTGAGTTAGAGCGAACGCGAGAGATTAGGAGACTGTGAGTAATCCTATTGTAATTCAGTGATGTATAATAATGGTTGAAAGTGACTTAGTGATAAACTGTTAACGTGACGTAGCGCAGAGTCCTGCAACCTGCGTATGCGGTGATATTGCATACAAGCCCCGTGTGTGTTTCCTTATTTTTAAAGGTGGTAACGCAACATTTTACTTTTTACATTACACTATCATAATGAAAAATATGAAAAAAAATCATAAAAAGTTATTGTTTTAAGCCCGAATTGTTTTAAATCAGAACTTGACGTTTTATGGTTCTAAGAACCTATTTAGTTCATTTTCCGAGTGATATCTGTACGTATCGTGCGTGCGTGCGTGCTGCGTGCGTGCGACGATGGACCAACTAACTGAAAGTAGTTCACGACATTTGGAAGTGGTCCATTCAACTTGGACTTCCAAACACTTGAACCGATTCTGCCTGGTAGATTTTGAGGAATCTAAAAATAAAGATTTTTAAAGGTCTTTGAAATAACTTTTAGACTATTCTACCGATCAATACTAAAATATAATCAGTTCTTTTCCCCAAACATTTAAAAGTTTTCAAACAGGTTTTTCTACAATATTTTTAAAACTACTTTCTCGTTAAATACTAAATTGAAACCATTCATTTTCCCTAAAAAGGATAATGTCAGTCATTGCCAAATACATCAAAATTAGTTGGTTCGCTCGAAATGTGTTCATAACGGAAAATCAACAAAAACATAATGGGTGCGTGTATTAATGTACGCGCGTGAAGTTACACTTCTTTGGCATCATTAAAAAATAGTTTTTAATTGCATGCAAATAATTAATTACAATAATTAATAATTATTTATTGATTAATGAATAATTAATTTAATAATAAACTTAAAAATTAAATTTATTCATTTTTTAAACATTTATTATTTTCTTAATTTTATATTCACTTTTCATTTTTATCAATAAGTTTTCATTAAATTTGTTCATTTGTTTTTATGAATGTTTATTATTTATTTAATTTAATAATAAATATTAAAATTTAATATTTTAAGTTGATGTTCGATTTTAATTTTTATCACAATTTTTTATTAAATGTTTTAATAAATTTATTTCTTTATTTAATAAATATTAAATAACTAATAATAAATATTTAATATTAATAATTTAATAACATTTAGTATTAATTATATTAAATAATAATATTGTAATTTATATCAATAAATAATACATACAGATAGTTAACCTAAATTATATTGGATAAAAAAAAATAATATAAGCACAATTTTTCCAATAATATTTACGAATAGTAAAACATTTGGCCCATGAGGGATCGAATCCTGCGACCTTCGCGTTATTAGCACGACGATGTAACCAACTGAGCTAATGGGCCATTGAGGTGTCGTACGAAAAACCTATATATATCAAAAACCTGTTAATTTTCTGTTACACTGATGAGCACGCATCTTAAAATTTTACTCTTATCACTTTTCTATAACGCGCCTAAAGAAGTATAACCTCAAAAAAGGTTTTTCAAAACAACACATGAAGTTCTTCACGGACGGATAATTAGTATTTGGCCATTTTTTTCTGCTTTGAAAATTACGTCGAATGCTGTAATTCAGGTCAAAATCGAATAATGTGTTCGAAAAATGTTATATATTCAATATATATATATAACGTTAATATGTGCGTGTGTGTATGTTATGTGGAAATAGGGTTATCGCATATTTAGAAATTAAGAGTTTATTTTTTTTTGTTATAACGTTATTAATTAACTGGCGACGTTACCGATTGTGAAAAAAAATTATCAAGAACAATCCCATGAATTTCGATCAAGCATTCCCACATCTTTTGAGGGCTCGTCCGAGCTCACGCTCAATGTCGGAATGGAATGGATTGAGACTTAAAGCATTATGAAATGTATTACTAGAATGCTAATTAATACTATGTATAAAAAATAACTGCGGTATGCTGGCTTCTATTTACACCACTATAATACGTATTGCTGGAATTAAAATAAATAAATAAAATAAAAATATATGTGAGCAAGCGTCTTAACTAGCAGGCTCAATTTGTAAAAAATAAACTTACTCATGCTAATAGTAGATATCTACTGAGTGTCCCGGGTTTGTAGGTTCGCGGGGGTTCTAGACTGGACTCGGGTTCCCGGACATGCAGTCTGTGTCTATGAGAAAGAAACTACTATGAACAATAATTTATTAATCTAGTTGTCATTAGTTGCCGTGACATATATCTTATATATACATATGTATCCGAGCCATCGAGGATGCGGAGGATATGATGATGAGAGTGAAACGACGCTCGTGCTCCGGGCGGGCGCGAAGGCGACAAGGGCGCGCCGGGGACAGGGCGCGACAGCTGAGGGCGGCCTGCGCGTCGGGCCAGGCGGCAGCGGCGGGAGACGCGGAGCGGCCCTGATGCGCCACGGCCTTTGGTTCGGCGGTAGTGCAGACAGCAGCAACGTGTCTCGGAACTGGTGAGGGCATCCAGCACCGTCTGCGTCCGCTGAGCGAGAGAGTGGGCGGCGGCCCGCGAACGGCAGCGCGCGCCGGCAAAATACGAAATATAAAGTACCCCGACGGCATTCAAATACAAAGATTAAATTGTATCTACCTCTCGTACTTATTGATATGATTTAAAAGCCGAGAGGGGGACAGGAGGAGTGTGTGAATGCCATCGAGGTTGCCACTGTGCAGTATGTTTCAATAAATAAACAAAAAATTAAAACCATCACATCAGGATTTTTTTAAAACCTTTTTTGAACTGTAGGTATCGGTAATTTTTATCAATTATGTTGCTACTTTGTTACCGCATCATGCTCATTGAGTTCATTTTTATTCTTAATATAATGTATCCACAACTTAGTATAATGTGTGTGATCATTTAAGTACGGCTTTGTAATAGAAACAGAGTGGTTAAAGCCTTATCAATAATTAAGGTTCTAGTAGTATTTTCATATAAATTAAACGTATATATGAGAAATGACATTCTACCCAATATATATGTTTATTTTTTTCACTCATAAAAGGCTAATTTATTTAGAAATTTGGAATAAATATGCACACCGATGTAACATCGAACATGCGTATGCTTCCATTTGTAAAATAAAGTTTTGATGAAGCCTTTAGCTAAGTAATGGGCAGGAACAAAGGAGTGTATGACAATTAACATAAAAAATATAGTTTTATTCAATAAATAAAATAATTGTAAAATAAATTCAGCAATTGTAATGTCCAAAGAAATTTACTATATATTTCGATGCGCAAGTAAATTTTGTTACAATTCGTTATAGAACAATCTATATTTATTCTCGCTTTTCTGTTTGTCCATCTATGAGTAGTCGCATCGGTCACTCTAGTATATTTTTTCTTCCATTGTATAATAATTGTCAAATATCATTTTAAAATATATTTATATAAACATATTAAAGAGCTACAATACGATAATTCGGTATGTGTCTGCGATAACTCCTATGGTAATGCAAAGAAGAAAGAATTTGTATCTGGTTGAAATCAATAGTCTATTATAAAGTAACCCGAGCTGACTGATTGAATTATTGATTGTTTGAACAATACGAAATGTTTCACTACATCAGTACAAGGAAAATATTTTCAGGAATCGATTGTATTACAGAATACACAATTACGTTGTTAGTATACTGATTAAAATGTTATTTTTTCTTAATTGTTTTCTAATAATGTACACGCTTATTCTATAATTTTATTGTCTACGTAATTCGTTGTTATTTATTAATGATTAAAAAACGTCATCTTGTAAAGAAAATTGTTAAATCAGTTTGTATTCTAGATTTTTCTCGCCTTATTCTTGGTCTTGTCGATTTATTTAAATGATGTTAATTGTATATTTTTAAGAATTCGTAGTAAGTTAGGTAAAACGAAATGTTCTAAATAATAAATTGTTCTGCCACGCAATTCCAACGTGTATATTTACAAGGCACAACTAAATTGCGAACATACACCAAGAATTGATGAATGAAATCGCAACCGCTTTCCTTCAACTAATGATACCAAGCAGGAAAGACAAACTGAAAATTCTTTTTACGCCTATAGAATACAAGAGTTTAACTTGATGATTCTTAGCTTAGAAGTATCAACCTAACTAAGAAAAGTGGCTAGGGAATCACGAATAACATTAAATGAAATAACCGTGACATTTATGGGTATTGTCTAGACTAGTCTAAAAACTCCTAACCAGTTTCAAATTATAAAACTTATTAACCAAATTTCTAAGCAGGCGCTTCGTCAATTGATCTGCTGATATATCAGTTTAAGAATATTATGGTTCAACATTGCTGCCTTTTAGAAACGTGCACCCTATGCTAATCAAACTTTATCTTTCCCACTAATTCCAGTCTTCTTTTACGCATCATTATCAGCTAAGTTCAAGTACAATGGATGAACTTCGAGATCAAATTCGGTTCAGGGGTGAACATCTCCAAACACTTTCTTCTACATATTTTGTAGACAACGGCCATCGATCTTTCAAAGCTATCGCTAAGAAGGTCAACGCCTTACTTAAGAAATACTTTCGTTGTCCGAAAAAGAAGATACATAGAAGTTCAGAGAGCGCACTTATACTCACTGATTGCTTAAAATATGTTTGTACCATTTTTATAGGCGTACACTAATTTAGTATTTTATTTCAGATGGATTTTATATCAGATAGGATCAGTTTAATTATAGGTGATGACATCTCACCCCACGAAATAAAAATTAACTAGTATAATCTGAGCTGTTGTCAAAATGTATGTGGTATATTAAACATTCATATTTATTTACTGTATTTGGTGCAGTGCTAGTGTTAACCTAGCCTTGAAGAAAATTCCGTTTAGTGCTTATTTTGTATTCTCATCTCTCGGACGCAGGTGAGATCGCAGTAAATACTGTAGTTCATTGGTGCACGACTGAAAACTTTAAAATTCATTTAAAATATTGTAAATTATTTTCTATCTTATTTATCGTCTATCATTATCTATGATATAACGTGATAGGCAAAAAAATATCAAAATCTTTTGTTGATATAATAGTTCCCGCAGAAAAAAGGAATTGCTACGCTCAAAACGTCCGCGCCCTTCTAATCACTCAACCTACTTTTCCTTTTTGAACTAAATTTCCCAACAAGCATATCATCGAGTGGGTAGCTTGTGTGCGGATGGATACTGTAGTCTGTTATTAGTCACTTTGCTTAAATAATTTCTAAGAGTATTATAGTCAATGTTATGTTTGTCAAAATCAACACTTTCTTTGCAATGTTGGTCTGATAAATGAGGGGCTTTGGGATATTATTCTTTTCATTCGGTACTGCACGAGTCAAGATGTCATTCAGGAGCAAAACTGTGCGACTGCGCTGCCTACCTTTAGAGACAGTTCCCCCGTTGTCAAATTAGACGTTCGGTGAGATTAGATTTTCGTTTGCTTACAGGCTTCATCGACGGTCAGTGTGGTGACGACACCGCTGATAGTAAAATTTTACCAAACCCGGTATCAAACCTGCAAATACATCGCTCTAAGTCCATGATTTACGTAAATCTATGCACATATCATTGATGATGACACGCATTCCGAAGCATCTTACAACCATACAGAAGCAAATAACATATGAGGTAAGTGACAATATTTTTTCTTTAGTATTAAATATGTCCAAAGAAACAGTTTTATTTAACTATTTATATTAATGGCTACTTTCTAAGCTAAGTCTTTATTTCAAAAGTCTTTTATCTTCCAAAGTATATAACTAAGTTGCGTTTTTACTGAATTCTTGTACCAAGAGAAGCGAAATAGTTAATAGTTACAATCACACTCACGTTATAACATTATGTTGAAACCAAGCAGGTAAAACAAATCGAAAATTTCTTTTACGTCTTTATTATAAACAAGTTAACTTGCTAGTACATAGCTCTGAAAATTGGGAAGTTAAATATTTTTGAAGTCTGTTTAAAAAATTATATATTCAGGTTTTTGAAAGCGGTTTTTATTTTTTTGGTAAACATAAGTTTTTCTTAGAATATCTCTGCTCCTACGGTTATCAGTAAGCTAAAAACCCAGAATTCGTTGTACAGCGTGCTGGTATGGACATTTTATTTTCGTTTTGTTTATGAATATCCAAGTTTGTCCTCCGTATATGAGGCAAGGGAACATACACGAATACATAAACCTTTTCTTAAGCTTTATTGCGAGTTTCGATTTTAAATATTCCTTGAGACTCCAGATATTATTTCAGTGTCATTCTCATTCTCATGTGATTTTTGAATGACACTTATTTTTTGAGATATATATATATATATCTCGGTGTATATATATTCTTTAATTGTTCCCTTTACCGTTATAGGATTTTATACTATTTGTAGCA